TGTCGATCGAATGAACGATGGTCGAACTGCTTGCAAATTCACAATATCAATTATACAAGCAGGGGTGAGCATGCTGCAAAGTGCGCTGTACTACGTAGACCGACTCACTTGCCCAAAGGCCAATTACAACCATCCCTGCTCTACACAATTCAGCTGAAGAATCAGTCCCTTCTATCTGCTTTTAAACCAAATATATTTATTTTTACATGGGTGTTTCACCCCCCTCCACGGTGGTTCTGGCAAAACCACTGGTCCACGGCTTTTTGGTCCAAAAACCGCCGGTCCCCGGTGTGTCCACTGTGTCCGCAAACCAGTGCTCCGTCGCACGCGTCCAGGTGCTCGAGGATATGTACCTTCACGGCCTGGTGGGAGGAAGGTCTGGAGCAAATTGATATGGGTAGAAGAAGTAGGAGCAAGAACGCTACTAGGGGCTCCCGGCATTACTACTAGGAACAAGAAGCTACTAGTACATACCCCAGGATTTTTAGGGGGTCATCAGGCTGTCATCCGGGTGTTCGAGAAGTTCTTAGAGCAAACCCGTGAAGCTTGATGGGGCTCCCTGTTTCCCTTCTTTGCCGCTGCCAGGGTAGTTGAAAGCATCCCTCTGGTAATGGCAACATCTGTGACTGTCGATCCGCCCCCCTGAATGAACCCGGGGTCTTAGCCAATCTCCCAGCCTTTTGACCGCCACCGTCAAACGACTTTCTGATAAAAAACACATACGAATAAGAGCTATTCATCCCCATGACCATTGCAAGTTGAAAAAAGGGGCGGGCCCTCCCTCCACAAATTTGCATTTTGATAGACCAACTATGAATTTCTTTGACCAACGATGTTTATACTATTTCATACTTCCTTATCAATGACAGTCGATCTTCCATCAAACTCAAATCCGGTCGGCGAATCTTCATCGGATCCTCCCGCTGTAGCAGCGTTTGAAGGAGTAGCCGCTGTCGAAGCCACAACATGGGATCAGACCGAAAATCAAACCAAGAACTGTGTGACCGGCGAATTGCCACCCCCAAGAAGAATCTCAGAATTGATGAATGGGGCAAATCTTGTTGGGATCTTGGAAAGCCTCCTCACACCGAGAAATTCGAACTACGTGGTACGTAGGTGTACGTAGCAAAAGCATGCAAAGGTTCAATGTGGCACAGTTCCCGCACCGCTGGTGGATCCCGAAACGCCCAGAAGACGCGTAGAACGAACATCCCATGGACTTCGCCAAGTGGCATAGTCCACCAATCCACTGGCGGCACACGCCAGGACTGGGCAGAAGGGACTGGGAGAAGGAAGCTGATGGGTAGCGATGCCAGGGCAAACCATTTCCCTTACTCAGTGGGTGTTTGAGGTTTGCTTGAAAGAGTAAATATAGCCCTCTTCATTGGGGATTGGATTGGAAAGGAGGGGGGAACTAACAAGGCCCAAGATTGTCCAGAATGCTAACAGGGGGCGCTCGCTAGCCTCACAAAGAGATGGCCTGTAGTTTGCCAACCCTTTCCTTTAAGTTGGCTCCTGCTATGAAACATGGTTTGTCAAGAAATGTCTTAGTTACATGTCTTAGCCAACGGCCGAAGCCAAACTTCCAACAGCTAGGATTCTGGGGCATATGTTGGACACAGGGTGATTTACATCTGCATTCTCTGTGTTGCCAATTACAGGTCTGATGTTGACAAAACCCTGGGCCATGAAGGAGGGGTGGACACACCTGGAAGGGCTAAGGGATGTGCATGTTTTCCATCAAATGCGTTTTCATGGATTACACTCCCTGGAACTAACAGGGAAGTGGAGAATGGCCCCTTGGAAGACCATGTTCCACTACAAACAGGTAGTTTTCCACTTCCATGCTAGTTCCAAAGAGAGTATGTTGTGTTACTTTTGATGGCTCAAAAGGTGTGCAATTATCCGTCGGAGCACGCTGTCAGACTTGTGTGTCCGTCTGGTGTCGGTCCACTAGTTGTTGAGGTGGGGGTTGTCCGTCTCAAGCCATGGTTCCCTTTGCAGAGGCATCATGGCTTGAACCATTTTCGGGTGAATCAATCACCCCGGTCCACCCCTCTACGCCACTAGAACTTCGTCAAACCCACACCACACCACCACACCCATCGAACGGCTTCGCACAAACGGCGCTGGGCGTGCGGGCGCGCGATGCGCTCATTGACCTCACGTGGGGCGTGCGTTGGGCGTTGGGCGAAAACGAGTTGGAGCCATGGTAAAAGGAAAAGTATAGAACTACTGCTACTACTACTACTACTACTACTATTACTACTACTACTACTGCTCCTGCTCCTGCTCCTGCTCCTGCTGCTGCTACTACTGGTCAGCTCGACATGAATCCAAGAACTGTAGGGGAGAATGCAAAGACCACGGCTGAGAGAAGAATTGTTCAAAAAGAGTTTTCGAGAGTCGACATATCGGGAGAAGTTCTCCGCGCCAGAGGAGGCCAAGCCTGAAGACAGACTACAGATGTCACCCTGGGCCTGTCAATATCTTCACATCATGCTTTTGTCCATGTGTGTTGTTTTCTTCCATTGGGAGTGTCCACTTAGGGATGACCCTCCACTGGGTCGCCGGTCCCGACCCCCTCGGCGATCCCGGATCATGCGCTCCAAGGGGCGACTTTGACTGGGAGGCTCGGAAGCTCCTGGCGGCACGATCCGTTTGGGGGGAGGTGATCTGAGTGGGGCTTGCACGACCTCAGGACGTGCATCTAATATGAGTGAATATGAGTGAATCATATTAGTCATTTAGTAACATCTTTGGTTGAATGGGAATTCCGTCGTCTGTATCGGCGGATTTTTTTTTGGGGGCTCCAATCCGCACCAAATTCCATGAATCATGATGCATTTATAACGGAATCTCAGGTTTTCGGCCAAACCGACAGATCGCGACTCCGACTCGACAGGCGTTGGCGTTTCAGATCTCCAGATCCTCCGGCCTTGGGGAAGTGGCTGCAGCCCATGTAATGCCACAAGACCCAATCCGTGCGAAGCGCCTCGAAGCCGGGTCGCGGGCTCGTGCCAAAGACCAGGTGGGCCCTATGCCGGTTTGTGGGGCTACCTGTCGGAGATCCATTGGATTTCATCATCTTTAGTAGGTGCTGGTCATGACTTTGGCCAAGACCATTGTACTGTGGGCGATTGTGCCAGAATTTGGAAGCAAACGCAGGATCAGCACCTAGCAGCAAGCAGCAGCAAGGTGCCTCTGGGCCATCTAGCTAACTTCTGGAACCATCGCACCAAGACTCTTGGATGCCATGAGTGTTTTCTGCGGTGTGCCATGGACGTGGGATATTCTGTGCAAAAGTGGTTGTTCTTAATTTTCCACAGCTGCTCTTCAGACTGACCAGGGTAAAAACCACCACACAAACCTGTCAGCAACTTCATGTCATCATCACCTTTTCCACCCCCTTCCCCCAAATATTCTGGCAATTCTCACGCGATGATTGTTTCTGCAGCTGCATACACGCTCAAATGTTTACAATTTGGTTGCTGAATTTCAGAGTTGAAGTTGCCGTTGCAACGGTTGCTCTGGCAAAGGGATGGCTCAAGGATCTTGTTCAGAAATCAACAACCCATCACAGTCACTGCATCGAAGAACACTTCCTGATGCTGCGTCAACTCTGCTAGAAGCTTTGTTCGCCCCTGAGTTTCCACCCCGGGGTTCTGGTCGACTTTTGGGATCTGTCTTTGCAATCGGAGGCAATAGATCCCTCTGCGCCGGCCACGAGTGAAGGAGCAAACCTGCCCAGCAATTCCTCCTCCGTCAAAGATTGCGCACCAAACCCAAGAAATCACAAAATGCTGATAGCGCGACTGTGGTTTGTAAGCATCATCAACACTTTTAACACAAACGCAGCAAACAATGATCACACTGGTGAGAGGGCACCGAAAAAAACCACAAACGCTCACTCACCACCGCATTGGCAATCAAAAAGCGGCCGCAGTCTAAAAATCCCTAACGGGTGGTGCTCGATGAAGCGCTTGCTGCTAGGCAGTGCACAACGGGGGCCCTCCATCTTAGCTGCCAAAGAATTTGCGCGGTGGGCAAGCCTCCCCGTACACCAACAAAGCCAAAGAGACACTAAAATTCATCCATCCACCCCCCACTTCTCCGGGTCTTCTCACCCGTCCGAGTGAGAGGTAGGACTACCAAACCCTTTCGTATTTTTTAGGCCTGTAGGCGTAAGCACTCTCTTGGTTGAGGCTGCCATTTGGGTAGTTTTGCCAAGTGGCTTGCAGCTTGGCCACGCCAAACAAGCAATATCGGCGACAAAGCCCCGCATCCAGCAGAATGTGCCAAGCACTTTGGTAAGCAGAGCCAGCACGCAATAGCAGTCACCAAGCAATTTAGCAGGCAAAGGAGGTCCCAGCACCACCTTGCCAAGCACTTGGGCCGGACGATGGAATGCTCCTGCATTACACCATCGTAGACCCCAAACAGTTTGTGTCTTTCGAATGGAACACTCTGCAACTAGAGCCTGCGACGTCCAGAGCTGGGAGACAAAGGATTGCAAGGCAGAGGCGGCCACAGCAGTCCAGAGCTGGGAGGCACATGTAGACACACGGAGACACATGTAAAGGATTAGGCGGACACAACAGTCCAGAGCTGGGAAGAAGAGGAGACAAATGAAAGGAAGCGGGAAACAAGACAGCCGGGAACCCGACCGCAAGCACCCAGCCTGGGAGACAAATGAAAAGAACTGGGAGACAAGTGAAAAGAAGTGGGAGACAAATGAAAGGAAGTGGGAGACAAGCCAGCCGGGAACCCGACCTGGGACAAATGAAAAGAACTGGGAGACAAATCAAAAGAAGTGGGAGACAAATGAAAGGAAGTGGGAGACAAGCCAGCCGGGAACCCGACCACAAGCACTGAGCCTGGGAGACAAATGAAAAGAACTGGGAGACAAATGAAAGGAAGTGGGAAACAAGCAGGCCGGGAACCCGACCAGACCATCCAGCACCAAGGCGAATGGAAAGCCCGACCACAAGCACCGTTTGGGAGACAAATGAAAAGAACTGGGAGACAAATGAAAAGAAATGGGAGACAAATGAAAGGAAGTGGGAGACAAATGAAAAGAAGTGGGAAACAAATGAAAGGAAGTGGGAGACAAGCCTAGCCGGGAACCCGACCACAAGCACCCAGCCTGGGAGACAAACGAAAAGAACCGGGAGACAAATGAAGGGAAGTCAGAGACAAGCCGGCCGGGAACCCGACCAGACCATCCAGCACCAAGGCGACCATTCTGTAAAGCATTGAGAGCCCCTAACAGTAAACTGTTTGGGGAAAAAGCTTTTTTGCGCGCTTATTGCTTCTACGCACGTTTACGCTGCTGCGGCCTGATCAAGCTTGTTCCGCCTCGTAAACAAAACGCCTTGCAAAAAGACCTCCGACCCAGCTTTCTTTGATAAAAAACAACGCCAATATTTTGAACGGATAATGTTTAGACATGTTTTGGCACCACAAAGTTCGTTGACCGATGCCCTTGATTTCACCAATCCCTCATCCTATGGTCCTATTGCCCGTTTATGATGACTCTCACTTCTCCAACGCCATCTCCAAATAGCCTGTTTTGCTCCTGCTGGCTCATGGTTGGCTCATGCCTTTGGCATTGTCCATTCAGTGAAGCAGTGAAACTCAGGGTGAAACATTGGCCAAATCGGTGGATATGTGCGGCATTTGCTGCATACACCCACCTCAGCATTCTTCTGGATCATCTTCTCCATGGCATGGTCAAAGCACCTTGCAATATGCCCTGTCTTCCTTGAAATCTGTATCAGTCAATTGCATGGCTGCAGTCTAAACCTCGCCAGTCCAGGAATCTCCCGGAAAAAAAAACACACATATTAATATTATACAATTCTCTATAAAACTCTACCCAACTCTACCCAACAAATTACTTGATTGATCAAGCTCCCAAAGGTGTCCCCATAATTAATCTACAGTATTCCTACTAGTACCCCCAAATAATTAGGTCGGGGTGAGAACAAATAATCATGAAGATACTTGGTCTTGGTGACCTCTCATGATTGACCACCCCTAATTTAAAACACACTTTCTCCCCCCAATACAGTAGCAAACCTTGATGGGGATGGGTTTATCAATTCGGTGTCTCCATTTACATGGTGTTTGCACCAAACCTGCCAGACCTTCGAGTCTTCCGCACCAAACCCACGCAGGTCACCTCCGATGGCTCCTGGTTCAAAGCCTTCAAGACTTGCTCGAAGCTCAAGGGACCTGGCTCACCCGCGCGAGTGCGCGACGAGTTCGCGACTGTGATGGTGCGAACGTGGCATCTCTTCGCACACAAAGAACGGGGTGCCAAATGGCTGTAAAAAACGAGTCGTTCCGAAGAATCCAACCCTGTAAGGTGACTCTTCTGACTCTTCTGGAAGGTTGGTGAGTCGATTCCGGGGCCATGAAAACGGACGGTCCGTGAGCCTGGCGAAGTACGAACGCTATCTGTCACTATCTTCAGCGACCAAACATACCAATTCAAGCACCGGTGCACCAAGACCAAACCAAACCGCAGAAAAAGATACAAAAACACATGACCTAACTATCTTTCCCAACTCATGTGGCTCACCTGCCTACAGAATGGCAACATATAACTTCAATGTAACAACCCGGTAAATCTACCCTGGAAAGCATACACCATTTCTCGACAAAACCATCTGGAAACAAGAATGTCTTTTCTGTGGCATGCAATCCTTCTGGCAAGTTCAGAAATTCACATCTCCAAAACTCGATGGGCATCTGTCGTTTTGTTTTTTTGTTTTCGAAGTGAACGCCTTTTCCAACCCGGGCCTCCATCCTCCCCCAGAACCGGTTCGACGTCCCAAGTCCCTCCGAAGGCATGTGTGGCCCATGACGGTCACCACGCCTTTGGTCGGGAGCTTGGCCGCCAGCTGGGCCGCCTGGGTTTTCACGGCCTCCAACTGCTTGCTAAGCACCTGTCATGGGTGTGAAGCGACTTGCATAATGGTTTTAGCACATCTCTGGGAAGAGGTCGGCGGTTTTCGATGGGTGCGGTGCTGGATGGTGTTGGTGGTGCTTCCGATTCGGTGCTTCACTTTTGGATCTGGCTGTCATCGCTAGGGCTGATTGCCAACACCTGCTTCAACATCTCAACAGTGTCTATGTCTTGGGGTTGCCCATCCCCCACCATGCTCCATGATGCCGAGCAGCTCGCGCGCAAGCGCAGGAAGTGCTGGGAACTACTGAAGAGTTGTGCTTTTTGGGGGTCGAGCGGCACTTTATTTATACATTTGAGATGCTAGATGGCATTTTATACATGCAGAATGTATGCAACGGTCGCTCCTCAAGAGTTCGTGCTTGGGCTACACCTTTCCCCCAAAAAACGCAGGGACACGTGGTTTGGGTAGGGCAAATCTCTGCTCGCTCGGTCCGCTCGTGTAGGTTTCCTGCAGATCTGATGATACCAGCGAGCTGTGGTCAGGAATGGACTCGTCACAGCTGAGACTTGAAGACGAGGATAGGTTCCTATGTCAATGACGAGGGTGCCTGCTCAGGGCGTATACGCTTTTGTTAGGCGGCATGTGAGGGGGGAATGAGATGCCTACAGTGGAGTTGCACCCTTTTTACAACCCTGCAAGGAATATGCTTACAATGGAGCTTCGAGATTTGTCACTTGCAGAAGCAACTGGTAGAAAAAGGACAAGCTTGACTCAGCATTAAATGCAGCTTCTCCACATCACGCCAGGCAGGAATGGTTGACACTTGCGAACAAATTGCTAAAGCTCATTTGGGTGTGTATGTTCATAGGGAGACCCTCAACATGTTCCTTCTTCTATGGGGTCTTTGGGAGGTCTCCCTATTTCAATACACACCCATTTCCAGGAAAAAAACCGTCCAAGATGCTGTTCTCGACCTCCACTTCTTGTGTGTCACTGTGGCACCACTGCAGGACTGGCCAAAGGCTTTGGATTTCGGGTTCCCCATGACGTCGGCCTCGACGCCGGTCGGTGACCGGCAAGGTCTTAGCTTTGAGGGCTACACTCAAAAAGAACAAGTCAACACCTAAAGTCTATTTAAACAACAAGTCAAGGCCATGGAACGTTTAAGAGCTCTTGATCAAGTCAGAACCGTACGCTTCATGCAGCACAACAATTGCTTACAGAACCTTCCGCACCCAGCTCTTATGAGAAGATTCTTACTGAATCACCAACACGAGGGGACGAGGGTGGCTCAGGCATGGCTCAGCTGGAATCGCACAGGCCCCTGGTTTCATGTCCGACGTGGGTTGTTCACATGGTTTTTTCGTCAACCAAGCTGCATAAATGCATAACAGTGTTTTTTGCTCCAATCTCCTTCTGATGCTCGAACAATCCAGGCTCTAAACACTCCATAGCGTCAACGATCTGCATGGCAGTTGATTTCTCGCAAGATGCTTCGAACTCTGCTGAGTTCTTCTCGTAGGTTGGCTGTAGAGAGGAGAGAAGAGAGAGGTCAATGCGGTGTTGACTGCCTGGTGGCAACCTGCCCAGGACAGTAGCTCATTTTCGAGGGGAACGGTGCCCTGCTGTTTGTGCACTCTGCCTGCTTTGCAGCAAACTTCTGCGTTTACTTCTGGTGTCTGTGCTCCATGATCCCTTTTCTCGGTGAACTCGGTGTCAAAGTGTTTCTCGCATGTAATTAGGTGCAAGCATCACTAAAGCTGGATGCTGCCCATGACAATAAGTCCGCCTAACAGCGCTGTGTCGAAGACCTCAGCTGCATCAAAAGTGCCAAGGCCGACCAGTCGGAAGATCCATTCTGAGCCGCATGTCTGGTCGTCAGAATTATGAGAATCGTCGCTTCTGTTTCAGAGGTGTTCTCGGATCCAAGCTATACTATCTGACTCTAGGCCAATTGGTCTGAATATATGCTGAACGTGCTGAACGCTGCAAAATCTGAAGCTCCTTCTGCTGGCAAGTATTCACTGTTTGCTGCACTGGAGTAGCCTTACCATGTCACCACTTTAAAGACACACCCACGCACCAAGCACCGGCAAACGACTGGTTTGTAAAGGAAAACGGACCATGAAAATCCCCACGAGCAGTTCCATGAACCCCCCCCACGTCCACCTGCCCAAAGATCTCCACCAATTGCTGGCTGGACCTCAGAAGAATCCGCGGGCAACGGAGTGGGTAGACCACACGGCAAGCGGAACCGCTGCACCGAGGACACGGACGCTGCACCGAGTCACCAGGAGATTCTAGACGAGGTTCATGGACATCCCATGGAAGACGATCCCATGGACCCTGGAAACCACTGGTTGGTGGAAACAATCTTCAGGCCGTTGTCAGGGTCCATGTTAGTTTTCGGGGGTGTAGAATGTGTCAGGTTGCATCATATTTCTTGGATTCTCTTGCTCATTGACATAGCATTGAGCTTCACTTCGAGCTTCTGGACCGAAAAACATAAGCTTTACACATCTTTACACCCCTTTTTTCTTTTTCAGAACTTCACTTAACAAGTAATTCCCACGAATTCCAGTGCACTTTCACCCGAAAAAGCGGCGGACATATCCTGTCTCCACTCCGGAGCTTCGATCGTCCGGAGCTTCGATGTCTCGGTGGAGCGAAAGAAACCAGGTGTCGTCTTGGCGGTTGGTTGTTTTCGTCTCCTTTTGTGGGAAAAGGGATGAAATCTGAGAAACAAACACATGTTTAGAGAGATGTCTTAGTGCAGTGAAAACGTTTCATCTAAAAAGCAAAAATTCACCCCCGGGAAGATGAACAGGGAACCTGAAAACCACGTCAGGTTGTAGAGGAAACTCGTCTCCCAAAGGTTTTCAGGTTCCATGTTCGTTTTCGACCAAAGTGATACGTTCCAAAACCCCCCCGCGGGTCTGTCAAAAATGGTGGCAGAAGACGGTGAGTAGATCATGAGTGATCCAATCAGTTGTCCCTTCAGAGAAAGCGACAGAAAAGGCCAGAGCTACGGATTCAACGAAGTTGTAGAGTGATGAAGAGTGACCGACGATCTGTTTACTTACCTCCATGTTCAGGGTCTGCAACCGCAGCGCCGCCAGGAAGGGCGTGACTTGGCCAAGTCCGCCGAGTGGCTGTGGGGTAATCTCCTTCAAGCCACTTCCTGGCAGGTTGCGACATGTCGGCGAAGAAAGGTCCTGAGTCCTTTGACACGCCAACCATTGGATCACCCACGGGTTTTTGCAGTACAGTAGATGTTGGACACTATAACTGACCTCCACCAACCCAGCCTTGAGGTTTGGCCCTTGCACAGCACAGGAACCTGTGCCTTCCGTGAGGAATCGGAAGAAGTGTGGTTGTTTTTCTTTGTCTTTTCCGCATTCCTCACATCGCCAGGTCGTAGCTGGGGGTCGTAGGAACTGACCGACCCACAGTGAGACGACATCCTCAGACAGCGGTGGAACATCCGGACTTGACTCTGACTGAAGCGATGCGTGTGTATATATATATATATGTATACAATTATAAATATAAAGTGTATGTATGTTGTGTATTTATACACCTTGTTGGGATTTGTAGGGTATACCAATGGTTTCTGGAGTCTCTCCAACTGCCAAGGTTCGGTCACATTTAACCAACATCTCTATAAAATGATATAGTATGGTCCAGGACAATAGAGTATCATGTCGCCCACTCGATCGAACATCACGGATAAATTCATCCTCAAGGATGTTACCCTGCGGAAGGCTTTCACCACAAGGAGTGGCCACGTGAAAGGATGGCATCACAACATACCGCTCACTTGGAATTGGGGAAACTATGGAAAACTACTCTCTTTTCAAGGAACAGGATGTACATTGCCAACTTCCCACTACAATCACAGTCTTTTTTCCACTTCTATGATTGTTGGCAGGAGAGTCACTTGGCAAACGAGTTCTTTCATATTCCTCCCTGTTCTTCCCTTGGGCGCTTCAGTTTGCTTCATGACTTGTGTAGTTCATGACTTGCTTGGGAAGGCGGGTCAGGGACTCCCGCTTCGCCCGCGTACCGCACAGGGACTCCCGCTCCCTTCGATGAAATCAGGACTTCTCAGGTCGGGATGGGACCTATCCGCGTTCCATAGGTTGCAGCATCTACGTTTGTCGGTCGGTCATTGGATGCTGAGAATCGTTGAAGGACTGTTAGTAGTGTTCCTAGTTTCCAGTCACTAGAGTCCTTTTCTTGTGCTAACTAATGCTCATGGCATCTCATGACCATTCACCTGACGCGAGCCGTGCACCGACTTCGCACTGAGAGGCCAACGTTCAAGCTCGCTCCTCAGCGCGACTACTGCTCGGCAGTCTCGTGACCCTTCCAAACAATGAATGTAAATCTGAAGCCCATAACACTTACATCAGAAGTACAAAAAAAGACATGGGCCCCGACTCACCCACACACAGAACACAAAGCATCCTTTTGTAGTCTTGATCCATGCATCCATGCACATTGCAAAAACTGCCCGACTCCTCATTTTCGTCGGGTCTTGAGCCATCTCTCCTTGCACTGCTCATGGGCATCGTTGTTCCCTTAGAAATGACACACATCAATCCAGTAATAGTGATGGGCACACCCCGACACCATCAAATAACACAAATGGTTTTGGATTCAGAGCCAATATCTGTGGGAAACACCCAGTTTTGACCGGAAACTGTACACCCTTCTTATCCGCACCGTGGAATTGGGCCACAGCGTGGTGTGTGACATGTCCAATCCGAAAAGGAAAATGCAGCTTTTTGGGTTGGATGGAGGGGAAACACCCATTTCGAATGGGTTGTCAAACACCATCCGATTCCTGCGACCCGAGCAGCGCAAACTCCTTGCGCAGCGTAGGATCTAAAAGCAATCCAAAACTATCCTCAGGCTTCGCTGCCTGGAACGACAGAGATGGAGAAGTCTGGCATGACCAAATAGGATCAACATGGGATGTTCGGCATGTTCCCGTTCACTGGGGGCCAAGTAGCTTCGTGCTCTCAAGGGCAACAATGGGTCACAATGGCCGAATGATGTTCGAACGGCCTGGCGATGTCGATGTTAAAACCCTACAAGCTCCCACATGCGACATTCTTGAGTGACATTCGTTTGGTCTCACAACTACTGCAGCGTGTATAAGCTGGAAGGACTTGTACTTTTCGCACGGCCCGGAGAGCTCCTCAATGCTTGTGCAAGTGATTAAGTTGATGAGTTATGTTTATCGTGTGAAAGAGATTGTGGATCCTAGATCCTAGATCCGCTGTGAAACATGAGAGGATCAATTTGCGCTTGTTTAAAAGATTCCTCAGACTCAGTAACCGCAAAAAATGACAATGTAAGGAATGCGTTGAAAAGCAACTAGCAACTCTAGCATCATGACAACTCTTTGGCAGCGCACATCGATCCAAACCCTGAACCTGATCCCTCCGGTCCAACGAACGACCGGCACGACGCGTGGGGGGATAGCCTGTTGCAATGCCGAAGACAAGCTCTTGGTGGGCGAAGGCACCTGAATGGGTCCGTGGGGTCTGCTGGTTGAAACAGCTGTGAAAATTCAATGCATTCGAATGCATGTATACCGCCTCTTTTTCGGCATGTATGTAAATGGTCCTCTGCAGATGATCTGCATTTCAAGAATCCCTTGCGCATGTACAGTAGATGCTCCACAGGTTCTGGAAACCTCCAGTGTTCTGCTCTACTCGAAGGCTATCCTAAATGCTCTTTCCGAAACAATATGTCTTGGCCAGCAGATGATTCCAAAGCTTGGAACACAAAACCTTCAGATTCCCATGTCTGCACAACAACTACTCACCCATATGTCCAGCCTTCCCTTGCAAAAGCTGCACGCTTGTGGATAAGACATCCTCACTTTTCGGCGGAGTGTCTGCGAGCCGTGCGTCTGGACCGGAGCGTCCCAACACGGCGAGCCGTGCGTCTGGACGGATCGTCGATCACGATCGATTTGGAGCATACGAAGGATCCAAAAATGATTGCAACAGCAGTCGCACCAGGATTCGCAGCCACATACTGTAACTAGAGATGGTGTGTTCACTGGGCCGGTCACTGTCGGTCAGGATTCCAAAGGGCGAATCTGGTCGCGGGGTTCAGTCACCTCACAATCCCTGTCCGACTCGAATTGCAGTCAAACACTTACTGCTTCTCATAGGCAGAGGCGAAGAAGTATAGCCTCTTGACTTTAAATCTAATATTGATTGATGATTTTGAGAGGGTCACATGGTCAGTCACATGGCCAGGATTGGACACAGTATGACAAGGTCCTCGATGGTACATCGGTGCCTCAATCTGAAAAAGCCAAGCGGTCAATCTGGTTGGTGGTTTCAACTCACTTGAAGAAAAAGTCAGTGAGTTCCAAGTATATCCAAGTAAACGTTGAACAATCATGTAAAATATATCGTGTTGATTAACCATCTCAAAATCCGAAAGGTTGAGTTCCATTTGCTCAACCCGACGATGATTTCAAACCCAGGAGTCCTTTGCCACGGGTGACAACCATTGGAGCCTCGGTGACAACGCCCAGGTCAACCGGTGAACGTGAATGCCCAGGTCAACCGGCTGAGGTGAACTTGTGCAAAGTGTCCAAACGTATCAAATCATCGATCCGAATCTCCAGCCAAGTGCTGAGAAGACTCCTTAGGACTCTTGGTTCAATCTTTCCAAGTGTTTGTGTCTACTTGACAAGTACAGACTCCCTGCTGAGGTTCTAGACTTTGGCAAACTGGGTCGAGTATACCGGTATAGTGTCTGTGTATACAGTGTCAAGATGTGTACAGTAGTCAAAGGGTGAACCATACTGCAAATGAATCCCCCCAAACAGTGATCCCAAAACTGTGATCCCAAGATGAATCTCTCTTTCAGCAGGAACCTACTAGCGATGGCCTCCAACCCAATAGGAATGGCCTCCAACCTACTAGCGATGGCCTCCAACCTAATAGGAATAACCTCCAACCTACTGGCGATGGCCTCCAACCTAATAGGAATGACCTCCAACCTACTGGCGATGGCCTCCAACCTAATAGGAATGGCCTCCAACCTACTGGCGATGGCCTCCAACCTAACAGGAATGGCCTCCAACCTACTAGCGATGGCCTCCAACCTAATAGGAATGACCTCCAACCTACTGGCGATGGCCTCCAACCTAACAGGAATGGCCTCCAACCTACTAGCGATGGCCTCCAACCTAACAGGAACGGCCTCCAACCAATAGCCAGTGCCTCCAACCTATTTGGAATGGCCTCAAACCGGATGGCCTCCAACCTACTGGCGAAGGGCCTCCAACCTACTCAACCTACTGGCGGATGGCCTCCAACCTACTG